CCCCCCCTAAGTTTCTAAATTTCTTACAGAAATTCATTGCTGCTGATCCCTCACAAGTGACACTGGCGGAAGGATGGGAGCAATGATGGTAGGTGAGAGGAGGCGATAACATTCAATATAAACTGATAAACAACCATATAAGGAATGAATCTAATGAGGTAACATTAATGTCCCGCCTCGTCCTTGATGTTAGCTTTGGAATCGTGGCATTTTAACCTGTGATATGGGGTGTGATGAGGTCGTAGGTGCTTACCGATAGAAATTGATAACAACTAATAAGGGCTGATAAGAAATCAGAGGAAGCAAGAGCCACTGAGTCGATTGCAAGTTCCGGTATATGGTACCAGGAAGTTCCGAACCACGCCAAAAGCCTCCAATTTTTGTAATCTGTTCGGTTCTAAGACTTTTTCTAGTCATCTTGCCATATATCAGTCTGATCGATCTGCTTTTACTGGCTCCCCTTCTACCTTTGACGAATTGGGAAAATTCTGCCGACCCATCAGACAGTGATCATTCACAAAGTTAGAAGGGGCGGATGAGGATCAGAATCAATGTATTCTGCACTATCCTGATGTTTCTAAGTTATGAGACCGTAGCGACTCCTTCGCTCTTCCTTTCTTACTCTCTTAAGAAAGGGAAAATACCTGGTATAAGCAGGATCCCGTTCATCAGCTTTTGTCTTTCTTTCGGTAAAGGAGCTGCTGTAAAGACGGTTTCCACGAACGGTAGCCTTGAATCTATGACACCGACTACCGTGGATTAAAGGGCATGTCCACGCCTACAGTCTGGCTAACAAATGTAGCATCCGGTTAATAATATTATTGCTGAAGCAAGGATGCTCTCTGAAAGGCTCTGCTACACACATTGGCCACAAATGATTGCTTGAGGGTGGAAGCCATATGGTCTTCGCAACATAAAACAATTCCTCTTGCTTGTTTGCTGATGTTTGGATTTTAAATCTATCGAAATGCAACCGTGCGGGTTCATTAACAATCAGTGTAGCTAAAAAGGCTTCGGCGTATGGGTTCTCGGCGTTTTCAAAGATGAAGTCTCAATTAGTTCCTTTGCAAGCACTGTCCCGAGGCCTCCCTCGCATGATCGCTCTTATTTTTTCCTGTCTTATAGCTACTGTCGTTTCACAGCAGCAGAAAAGGACGGTAACTATTCAACCAATAAAATTTGGCACGATTTCGGGCCGTTCATCCGGAGACTAGGACTTCCTTTGAAATTTTTTTTAATACGTAGGTGACTGTTGGAATTGCTGCTGTAGAGGATGTCTCACCGAGTTTCATGGCTTTCTCACGAAGTGGTGGTGCTATCGGTTTAGCTCTTGACCGTATGCATGCCGAAGGCATCACGAGCGGGATTGATTTCAGGTGAGTATGCAGTTCTAGCCAATTCACCCTTTCCCTGTCTGATTACGAATGCTTAGGCTCATGAATATTCTGAATTTTGCTATTTTTTCTCCCATACTTACATACTGATGGAAAAGCGACAACTAGTACGTTGGTATTGGCTGCATTTGCGCCATGCTTCCGTTTGAAATTCTAATCATTTGATAAGTAATCATTCGAAGACCTGACTCCAGGAGTAGTTTCAAGGTTTTAAATCTAATTCACAGGAGGTTCAGTGCGTTTCAAGAACCTGTTGACTCCGGGGACTATACGAAATGAGACGGAAAAGCTGTCTGGACGATATTTTATGTGTCAAGTGCATGCTATTTACCATTCCTCTGGAGAATTACTATCCACTATCGCCACGAATCTAGGCCGAACAGCTGAATTGTTTTCCAATATGGGTGCTCCATTGTGAATGATGCAGTATCTACAAGGCCGTTGGAATTATTCGGCTTTCGAGTGTTCACGTTGATGCCCTAGCCTCCACACGGTGTCCGGTAAAGCTGGATTCAAGTCTCTATAGCAACCTGTCTGAACCGTTATTCAATCCGACAACGCCCTATGTGGTTGGCATAATGGGAAGCCACTAATCCGTTCTAGTTGGAATTCTCAGGGGTCATTATCATCATTGAACTGAATATTATTCTGTAACTATCTTATAAGTTTGAAATTTCTTCTGAGGAGTGTTATTGAATGGTTCGGCAGTTGTTCAAATATGGGACGACTGGCAATCGCTGATAACATTCATTAATTGTAAGTATTTTCTAGACAAGCCATAAGACTGCTCAATGTAGTTTCTGGTGAAGACTTCAAAAAAATCTTATGCGGGTCTTTATAAGCCTCAATCTGTCTAACTTTGTAATTTTAACCATGTTTAGGTTCATGGTGAACTACACCGAATGCAGTTCCGAGGTAGCTGTTGGAGTAGCCTTGGACTACATGGTGAAGCAGAATGTCGACCTTGTCATTGGACCTCCTTGCCCACATTGTTAGTTCATTTCCTATGAGTCAGAGCTTCACGCGTTCCAGTCATAGAAAGCTGGTATTGTTAGTTTATTTCTTTCCCAGACGAAACTTCATTTCATAGGGAGCTATTAACAAAGCAACAGCAAAAAGGAGATAAGCCTGAACAAAAATCTGAGCAAAGCAGCAGAAAGCATGTTGTCTGAATACTGCATCGTGCTGGGCCTTCTTTTCCTTTTCGTCAATGTCGAGACGCTGCCCGATACGACGCGGATTAAACGAAATACCGGCGTATACCACCAATTTTGGGCATCCAATCAGTGTGCGTGCGTGTACGATTGCGACAACAGGCGATAATTATTTGCTTTTACCCCCCTCAGCCGCCCGCTGGCCTACCACCTCAACGCGGTGGGTGTGTGAACGTGCGGCGTGTGGGCGTGTCCGCTTTACCATTTTGTTT